TGTGATCATTTTTTGCCTAATATACAGATGGGCACAGATAAAACAGTGGGCAGATTCAAAGGTCTTCACTTATTTGGTCTCCCATATAACATATTAATTTCATACAGCATATATCTTCAGGAACTGAATATTAAATTGGACCTGGTATCTCTTTTTAACTCTCTTCTTCTATGAAGCCAAGTTTTTTGTCATGTGTTAATGCTTGCACTGGCATTACAACACTGGGCAAGGGGAGTCTGTTGATCCGTATTTAAGGAGTAGGACAGAAGGAAGCCGGAAGAAGAATTTGGGAGAAAGAAAGAAGGGAGTTTCAAGATTACTCCACATTGTTCTCTTAATTATGACAAAGCTACCTCAGAATGATGAGGAAGATGTTTAAGCTGGCATACAAAGGACGTACTAGTTTATGGACTCAAGAAAGGAGTGAGATTGTCTGCTAACGCTATGATTATCATTTTAGTGTATTCCTTTTGATTGCATTGGAAGGCAGCAGAACTAGTGTGTCCCTACAGAAATCAACTGAACTAATCAATGAAGATGATCAATTTATAGACAATTTTCACTGTTATCACAGAAAAAAGATTTTCATTTCTGTGATACAAGAAGAAACAGCAAGACTTCACTTAAACTAGCTAGACTAAATTGAGATTACGTAATTATCATTTGGAAGGCAAAAAAAAAATCTCACTTGTGCGTCATTTTTGGGAAGAACCTGAAAATCATGGTCAGGTTGTAGTAACACAGCTTCAGACTGTCTTAAAGCATGGGACAGCTAATTCGCGAAGTGGATCATGTAATAAATAACTGGTTAGAAGCTGTTCTTAAATCCTTCTCTTTGCACTGCTTTTCCATAGGAGTAATTGCTCTCAGAAGAGACCTTTGATTCCTTGACTAAGAGGTAAGTTCCACAGCTGGCTGTCTCTTTGACTTACTCCTGTTCTTTCTCTCATGTCTCGCTAACATTCAGCATGTGGAGGGTCTTAGGTTGTTGTGTCAGTTATTTAAGGTTTTAGAAAACAGAAGATGCAAATGGAACAGGTAATGTTTTCTAAATGCATTGTCTGACTTAAACCCATGAAATACTATGGTCTTTAAGTGTATGCAGCAGGACTCTGGTAGTGTAGATATACGCTCCATACTGTAAAGGAAGTGTTTCTAAGATTTTAGTATTTTGAACAGAAAAAACATAAGACTTTCCTCATATTTCAAAGTATGATTTATAGACTCTTTTTTTTGTTAAAGCTCACTTGCTATCCATCATCTCGTATTTAAAAAAAAAAAAAGTATAGTGACTAGAAATAAGTGGATATCTCAGATTTGCAATCTAAAAAACTATTCACGCTGAACAGAGAGGTTCCTAGAGCAAGCCAATAAAACGAAGTAAGTACAGGGATCATGGCCATCATTATCTTATGATCTAGTACCAGGAATCTGCTCCTCTGGGCAGGCATCTGCAACAAATCTTTCAAAAACTAAATAAATTTTCCTTATTTTATTTGACATGACAGAGATGCCAGTTCATGATATAATAGCCAAGAGGTTAGAGGGTTCCACGTTTTGACTAAAAAGTCCACATTTGTGACCTTCCTCAAAATCATTTTCCACTTATGGGCGAAATGTTCTAGTCACAGAGATGTTACTGGAGATGGCCCTATTCCCTCAGCCACTTTTAAAAAGACAAGGTGGCTGTGTTTTGTCATATGCCTAGTTCTGTTAATGTTCAGTCTACTGTGATAGTATCTGCCAGACCCAGCCTGGCATGTGGATTCATGTGGAGAAACAGGGTAATAATTTTATTTCACTAACTTTAGATGTCAGTGTAAATGTCAATACGTGAGCTAGCAACTCTAGATTCTGGTTTTGGTCAGAGAAAAAAGTAGTTATTTTTAAGGTGCAATTCAATTTTAGATACCTACTTTAGGATGAATCTGCCTTAAGAGCTATTCAATATGTTGACTAGATCTCCATCGATTATCAAGGAGAGAGACTAATTTAAGTACTGATGCCTAATTTAGTTTAGTGGACACTGCTCATAGTTTCTGGATACTGGTTCAACTTAAAATAGTCACATTGGGGTACTTTTAGTCCTATGGGAAAGCTGGAGGCCCTAATGAAGTTCAGAGCGAAAGAGGGAAGTGCCTGCTGAGCTTAGGCACCAAGGATACCCAGAGCTGAGGGAGAGTGTTGGGGATTGTAGTTTTGGAGTGAGGATTTAGTTAGACGTAATGACTGTCCCACTGGCTGAGAGACAACACCTGGTTAGACCACTGCATTGAAACTGGGTAGGAGCAAAGTAGAGCAGGCTAATTTGTCTACCACTGAAGGCAATAAATTCCAGGTGAAGGACAAGAAGTAGCATAGAATGATAACTTCATAGATTGCTTGATTATGCATTGGCTACATCTGTTATGTCAAAGTCCTTTATCACCTCTAGCTCTACATGATTTAAAACAATCAACCCTTTAATCTCAAAAAAACGTGTGTGGAAAAAGTATGCTCCTGTGATTCTAGAAACTTACTGAACATGAAGTAGAGAATATTACTCAAATGAGAATGTTCTTTATTTTGTCTTTAAGATTTAATTAATTACACTTAATTACTAGTGAGTAGAGTTTTAGTTTTTAAAATAAGTTCTTCAGGTAACATAAACCCAGCATTTAATCACATTTAAAAATCTAAATCCTACTACAAATTTGTTCTGGATTCTAAATATTTAGAATAGTAAACTGAGAATCAAAGAGATGCGTACTGTAAACCTACTGAGAAAAAGACAACATGCAGTTATTATGAAAGAAAGGGATTTGAATAAGAAGTTCTTCTGTGGGTCAGTAGTCTTTCAATACCTGTACACATTGATTGTCTGCAATAATTAAAATTCAATGCAGAAGACACATTTTTAATTATCAGTAAGCCAAAGAATTCCACGTGCATCATTGCCTCAAGTCAGAGAATGACCGCTGAATACAGAGCACTTTATGGGAACAAAGCTAGCACCAACATTTGATGGCAGAATGCATTGAAATCCAGAATAATAACTGCAACAAAGAAACAGACTGAGGGGCATAATCCACAATAAAGTAATTGTCCTGTTCTCTGTGCTTGTTGCTACAGACGATACTGCTTTTTTAGTATTACCAAGGAACCAAATATTTCTGAACATGTAGAAAAATGTTTAAGTTTCTTGAAAATATTCTCAGAAGTTGGATGTATTTATACACCGTGAAGAAATATTTACAATTAAAGGCTTAGTTATTCATGGTCTTGGAATATGTATAATTATTTGAATCTGTGAACTTTAATTGTACATTATAAGTAATTTTACATTAATTAACTTTTAAAATTGTTTAGTTTAAACCTAATTAAAGTCATTCAGAATTAAAATTGCTTTTTATGACTTTAGCTTAATTTATATCTGAAATTAATTGAGCTGAACTGAATAATTCTAAATAAGTGTCCATACCTCCGTACCAGGATATAACACAATTTAAATAACCCAGATTTCCTGAATGTCCTTGTAAATCTGATTCTTGTATGTGTGCATGATGCTTACTTTCTACAGTGACTGTAGAAAGGTAGTATGTCCATAATTTTTGTTGAATATACTGTCAGTAATTTGTCCATATGCTTTCTCTTACATAAGTTAATTTGTCCCTAGCCAAAGCTGCACTTTCTGAAACACTGAATTCTAGTGTGTGTGTACGTGTTCATATGTGTGTATGTATATACGCACAAGGGTAAAGCAGAATGGAGCTGAAGAATCTTTGATTGTATGGGTCTTCCTCTCAAAACTGTAATTAGTGACCTGCCTATGAAGTTTTAAATTTCAGATCCATTTTTAGGATGTGCTTATCAAGTGGTTTCACTACTGCTGTGTTACAATTTATTTGAGAGGCCAGTAGAGGAACAATACCTGAAAAAATTCAGAGGATTCAAGAAGAGCTCCAAATTTTTATTGAACACAACAGACGATAGCCCTGACTTCTGTAACCAGCCAGGCTACAGCTCATATTGCACTAGAAAATAATCTCTTCTACCGCAGGGAGGCTGTCAGGACAGTCCTGGCTGAGGGTGAACGTGTGGTTTCCCTTTGAGAACTAACCGAGGAGTTACTAAGGGGTACTAACAGTGCACATTTCACTTTTACAGAATGTTAAAACAAACCTAAGTTTGGAATAACTTGAGTTACGTTCTATCCATATGTAGTGGTAGTGGGTCATGTTGCTCCTTACTTTTGCCTGTAGCTTAACTGGAAGGCTCTGCTGAAGTTTTGCAAGCCACATGAAATTAGATCCACATGAGGTATTACATCCATATGATTCAGAAGCTACTATTAGATGCAGCTGAGAAGGTCTTCCTGGTTCATGTGCACACGTGCTAATGCAAAAAAAGGAGAACACAGAAGCTAGGCTTGGTGTAAATAGATGTAACTTTTTAAAATCAGTGAAATTTGTACTGTGCAGAACTGTTTCTTAATACCTACAGACCTGATTTTTGTCTTCTGTGAAATATGAACAGAGAATTCAAATTGAATTTGAACCACATTTTCAAGGTAGAACTTATTTGTACATTCTGCAGTTGTATAGAATGTTTGCCAACATAGAATGTACAGACAAACATGGGGAAATACCCTAATAGGACCTTCAAGTTCATATATGATTTATAGATGCAGATAAAACTAACTTGCAGAAAAGCATGTCCTATGTATTTGTACCACATTATAACTTGAGCCTGTGATGTCTCAGATCTTTCTTTGTAGTTATGTATTTTGTTGACAGCTGTATTTTACCAAATAAGTTCAAGTGTTAGAAAGTTTGTTTTGTTTATAAGGGACAACTTCCTGCATAGAAATTACTATGTCAAAGAAATCTTCAAACTGATTAGGTGGGTCAAATGAATGAGAAAGTCTGTCTTACAAGCATTCCTAAATCACTGGTAAACTGATTCCTAAAACACAGAAGGCATTTTGTTTGTCTGCTTTTATTTTTGTTTTTGTTTTTAGAATGGGTAAAAAAGTAAAGAAGGAAGTAGAGCCTCCACCCAAGGATGTGGTAAGTTTATAAACTGCGATGTGCTATAAAATAAACATTACACAATTATAGGCCCAGCTCTACCATCCGTACATAGTTCCTTACTCTCCCAGCTTACCCACATTATTCTAAAAATGTCTTTTAAAGATGATTCTGTTTCTGCTTTTCTTGGACAGCATACAAACCAGAGTGACTGGGCATGTGTAGTTCTTTGTGGAGATTGTTGTCTTTGGCAGGTTTTGCAAACAGTAATGTATGAAACAATCCAGGCTTCTTTTTATTTGAAGAAGAGTATTAGCTTTCCATTTGTAAAAAATCAAAGGAGAAAGGAGAAGAGCAACCTGAAATCTGCCTGTCTTTTCAACTGTGGAGACATTCCCTTTCTTTAAGGATGAAAGAGTTAAGAGCCTAGATGGATCTGCAGAGTTTTTTACTGAATACAAAATTTTACAGATAATTTGAATGACAATACTAAGTATTCTGGATCTTTTGCAAAGATATACAGTCTTTAGCAGCAGTTCAGGTTTTCCTGGTATCATTGGAAGTGCCACAGTGAGAAGTACAAGAGCTGAAGCCAAATATGAAATAATGGTGGTAATGTGACTTTTTTTCAAAAGGTGGAGATTGAGGGTCTGACACTAGGACACTTTTCAAGAGTTTCTATAAATTCAAAAGGTACAAAGAGACCCTCAAAAAGACAGAGGTTCAAAATACAGGTATTTTTAAAGTTTAATTGGTTTATTCAGAAAGAAGTAGAGGAAATAAGACACAAACATTGAAAAGAGTATAATGTAAATTCTGTGCCAGATAATAATTAAGTTAACTAAAATCAGGACCTCAACGAGTCCCACAGAGGAGCGTGAAACTAAATGCAAAGTTCAGTACACTGTTTTAAAAAAACAAAGGGTTTGTCTGTAGAGAGTGATGGTACTGCAAGAGCTTTTTCAAAGGTCATAGAAATTTTGGTCAGCAAAAACTATGTTACAAGTTCAATATTAAAAGAGCATAAATAATTTTGACTAAGACAGTAATATCCAATAGCCATGATGTCACTGAGGCATAGCAATTGATACCAGGTTTTGCCCAACTGTTCTGTGGAAAGATGAATATTACAAACATAATTCATAAGCTCCAATCAATAATAAATCCTTATGAAAGGAGACTTGACACAAAACTTCAACATGAGAGAATAAATTGATCTAAAGCCATTTCTGTACGGAATAACCTAGAAAACCAGGAGGACACACAAAGAAGGTGTATGTGGGTAGGACTAACTAAAACAGGCCTGAAGAATTAAAACCAAGTATCTTCGCAGTCTAAGAAAAAAAACCTGAAAGGCATGACAGTAGATTTAAGGCATACAGATGAGCTAACCCCCTCCAAAGTAATAAAAGTTGACTTTTTCAGTAAATACCTAGAAAGTCAGTAGAAGCAGCACCACAATTTCCAGGTCCAAAAGACACCATTAGAGTCTCTGGAAAAAAGTATGGTACAGCCTACTAACTACTACAATAAACTGTGAATAATGTTAGAAAAGATATTAAACTATTGAAAAAATTAAACTTAGTAAAAGGTCAATAAAACTATTAAAAAGGAAAGAATTTGAAAGAGTGAAGTCCAGATGGCATCTGCAGTTTTTGGCTTAGTTTTTATCCGTATTGTACTTCAGGCTAGCATATCTCTTCTAGCAGTCCTATCAGGAGAAAAAAATCTGAATGTTGCATAGCAAAACAGTATTAAATATGTAAATAGATCATTGATTAGTTGTAAATATCAATCAAGAAAATCTTCTAGCTATGAGAATATTGTTAATAGTGATCATGTAAAATCAAATCTCAAAACTTTATATTTCACCTGGATATTTCAGATGGCAGGAAATGAGACACAGACAAAATAGAAGATGTATTAGCTATTATCTTCTGATTGATAATCTACTTATGAAAATGTCAAGTCCAAGAAAAGAAGCCTTGAGATAATGTGGACGTGCTTATAAAAGAGGGCCTTTGTGCATGTGGAATGCTCTGAGAATATATGGTACTGCAGATGACCACTAATTTTTATAGATTTCTAGGAACAGGTAGAAAACACATCTCTTAGCCTAGCCACTGCTTATAGGTTTCAGAAAGTATTCCTGAGCACTCTGTTTTCCCTGCCTTTCATAATTTGTCTTTTACTATTATCTGTTCTGAGAATTGGTCTTCTCCAGGAAAAATAGTGCTTTGAGCCTCTATGTCTATATGGATGACCTTAGACAGCAATTCAGGCAGATAAAATATGCTGGCTTTGACATAGATTGATAGGAACTTTTCATATGATATCTTCATTAAGTTTGGTCTAGACAATATTACTATTTGATCATCAGCGAGGGCATGGATGTTGAAAGGGAAGCCTAAGATTACCACTAGAGAAAATACTGCGGCATTACCACTGAAAGAGAGCTATAGATACCTGAGTATTTTTGAAAATGGCTTCATTCACAACACTGATGTTAAGAAGGTGGAATATATGAAGTGGCACTGTCAACTCCTGAAATTCAGTCTCCACAGAAACATCTTCTTTTGAGCAACTTTAGTTGCTTTTGACTTTAGTAAGGCTTTCAACACTGTCTCTCATAACATCCTCATAGACAAACTGATGAAGTACAGACAAGATAAATAGGTGGTGGAAATGAATTGAAAACTAGCTGAACTGCCAGACTCAAAGGGTTATGATCAGCAGCATGAGGTCCAGCTGGAGGTCAGGCACTAGTGTTGTGCCCCAGGGGTTGATCCCGGGGCCGGTACTGTTTAACCTCTTCATTAGTGACCTGGATGATGGGACAGAGTGCACCCTCAAGAACTTTGCAGAAGATACAAAATTGAGAGGAGTGTTTGATAGACCAGATGGTTGTGCAGCCATTCAGAGGCACCTCAACAAACTAGAGAAATGGGAAAATGGGAATTTCATTAAGTTCAATAAAGGGAAATGCCAAGTCCTGCACCTGGGGGAGGAATAACTGGTATGGACTGGGTGATAACCGGTGGGAAAGCAGCTTTGCAGGAAAGGATCTGGTGATGCTGGTGGACATGCACCAGCAATGTGCAGTTGGGGCAAAGAAAGCTAACAAAATCCTGGGGTGCATTAGACAGAGTGTGGCCAGCAACTTGAGGGAGGGGACTATTGTCTTCCACTCAACGTTGGTGAGTGAGATCACACCTGGAGTGCGGTGTCCAGTTCTGGGTTCCCCAGTACAAGAGAGACATGGACTTACTAGAACAAGTCTGCCAAAGGCTTGGAGCATTTGTCATATGAGGAGAGACTGAGAGTTGGGACTGTTCAGTCTTGAGAGAAGGTTTGGAGGGGTCTTGTCAATATACATATAAATACCTGATGGGACGGAGTAAAGAAGTCAGGCCAGGCTTTTCTCAGTGGTGACCACTGAAAGAATGAGGGGCAATGGGCACAAACTGAAACCCAGGAGGTTCCATTTAAACATAGGAAAAAAAAAAAAAAATCCTCTTTTACTGTAAGAATGATGGAACATGGCTCAGGCTGCCCAGAGAGGTTATGGAGTCTCTACCCTTGGAGATATTCAAAATCAGACTGTGCACCAGCCCTGAGCTCTAGCTGACCCTGCTCTGAACAGGGCAGTTGGACCAGATAATCTCCATAGGTGCCTTCCAACATCAACTGTTTGTGATTCAGTGGAATATCTTGGGTTTATATTGTTAGTATAGGAGATCAGACAATGACAGAATTGAAACAATTAACATGACCAGGTATATATTAACTCTATTTTTCTAGGTAAAGGAAAAGGGGTTAAGAATATTAAAGATATCGGTAATGCTTCTAAAGAGTCTATGAAAGGTGCAAGGATAAAGCAGACCTGTAGTTGGTTAGTTCAAATTTAAAGTTTTTTTTTTTTAAATGACAGCATGATTAAACAATAAAATAATAGCAGATAAATACATCCTTCAAAAGGTGGGATTTACATCTAAATGTAAAAAAAATCTTGCACTCACAAATGAAAAGTAAGAGCACAATGTCACAATGCACCAAAATATTTTGGGAGAGAACTAAGAAGGATACAAAAACTAGCAATAAAGCTTTTCCAAATTGACTAGAAGCAAGAAGCTTCTTAGAGGGACACTATTAAGTGATTAAAGTCATAAAAGAAAAGCAAAATGACTTTTTTTTTTGTCAGAAGACAAAACTATGTAGCAAATCACTAAAACAAATGTGAAGGAATTGTCCAAATATGAATAAATAGTATTTGCCCAGGTCTTGTTCTAAGTGAAAAATAACTAAAATTTGAAACTGTGGTGCTCTTACTTATGGTATTTAATGTGTACCCTTTGTACTAGAGGAATGGAGGGTAGAAAATTTCATTTTCAAAAAGAAATACATCACTAATTACAGGCCAGAAAGTTTGTCTTCCATGCCGTGTTAATTGGTAGAAATAGTTACAAAAAAAAAAAAAGAGAGAGAAGAAAAAAAAGATGCATGGATAAATGATAGTAATGGGGGAGAATCAATATTGCTTGTGCAGAGGAAAGTTCGATCTCTGAAATCTATTTGAATTCTTTAGAGGAGTCAGTGAGCAGGTGGATAACAGTGATCTGGTCAATACAGTTATTTAGCTTTTTCAAAAGTTTTTAGACCACGCTCTTCACTCACATAAACACTAACAGGTAAAAAAAAATTCCTCTCCTGGCAATAATGTCTGGTTATAAAATAGAAAGCAAAGGTGAGAAAACAAATTACTGTTCAGGTTTCATAATGGAGAGAGGTTGCCAGTGGAATGTCATGGGTTTTTATTCTGTAACCTGTGTCATCCAGTCTATCAGAATTAATGTGCTTACTTTAATGAAAATGGCAGCCAGTTATTAAGCAGGCAAAAGTGAATAAATACAACATTTCAAATTCCAGAAATAAAAGGCAAAACACCATGTCACTAGCAAATGCAGTATACATGCACTTGTTGAATGCCATTAACAGTTCTGGTATTTCCATCTCAAAAAAGATACAGCTGAACTTTAGAAAAGTACTAAGAAAGACAACAAGAATAGAGAGAGTGGCTTCCGTATTAGGAAAGATCAAAGAGAATAGGTTTCTTCATCCCTAAAAAGAAATGAGTGTGAAGAGGAATATCATAGAAACTTACAAAATGAATATACAGAGAAGGTAAATGGGTGTAATTTATTTCGCTGTTTCTTGTGGTGAATGAACTGTGGAGGACAAATAGAGTTATCAGGTGGTAGTTTTAAAACAAAGAAAAGGCACAACTATTTATGTGACTGTTAAACTGTGATACTTGTGCCTTAGAATATTAAGGGTGGCTAAAATACAGATGGCTTCCAAAATTATTTACCAAGTTAACTGGTGGAAAATTTTTCTTGGACTTTTTGAACACAGAGATAAAATCGCTAGCTCACCAGTTCTCTAGGTTGCAGAGTGCTGGAGTCTGGGATGGAATATAAGCAAAGTTTAATAGTCTGCTTGCCCACACCTGTTACTGGCCTTTGTCAGAGACAGGATGCTGGGCTAGATGGGTCTTTGGTCTGACTGGAAACATATTTTGTATTGCCTTCAATTTCAACTAAGTTAAGTTGATGGAAGCAAAAAAAAAACCCAAATGCTTTGCAGTTTCTAATGGCTTTGAAGTCAAATGTACACAAAAATCACGATCAAAGACATACAGGATTTTTTGAATTATAGCTTTATTTTTCATTTAACTTGCTTTTTTCTTAATACAAACTGAATGTTGGAAATGTTGTTGCTTATAAACTAGTTAAATTTCTGTGTTTAATTGAAGGTTCTTTGTAACTTCAGGCATATTATTCTAGCATGTAATCTGTCCTGTGTGTGCCATTAAGGGAAGAGTCTGCAATGATGTATGAAGATTTAGGAGCAAGCCTTGATTTTAAGGAAAAAAAGAAAAAAAGGAGGGGGGACTCTAGCTATGCTGGCATTATGATAAGCGAAAGTCACATCCAGTTCTATGATAGTTTTGACGAACAATGTTACTTCCCAGCAAATCACCTGCTCAGGCCTCTGACTTCTTAAACATATATTGATTTCAGTGACTCCTCTTGCTGTGTTTTCAGCACAAAACTGCTTCTAATAGGAAAGTTTTATTGAATATTTCAGGCAGTAGTAGTGAATCTAATGTCTATACAAATGGGTAGAGATTAGACCAATTTAACTCATGTACCAACCTGTCATTAAATTCTGGGAATTATCATTGAATTAAGGTTTATACGATTACTTGTGAACACGAGAGGCAACAAAAATGGAGCAACATAATAGCGACTTTGGTATTAGATTAATGTAAATAAATAACTGAGATTTAAAACTCTTATTTCATATTTCATTTCTTATTAAACTTCATCTGAGATCAATCTTTGTGTTTATTTTTCTGTGGAGGACTAGCAGCCTTTACTAAAAATTGCAGTTTTATCCCATCACCAAGTATTTGGCCAGACTCAGGAGATATGTCTTAAATCATAGCACTACCTGGAGGATCATGTTCTGTCCACGCAAGGACACAAATGTGTAGAAGTAGAGAAGTATGAAGGTGGCTAAAGGGACTTTCAGTCATCTTTTAATTCTTCTGTATGCCTCTCATGTAGGTAGAATGAACGAACTGTGTAGAATAGGTAGAATGAATGTTGCTGTGATAAGCTTGAACTTTTTGCCTCCTTACAATCTAAAAAGAAAATTCCCATAAAGAATTCCATCATTTTAGGCCCATCATTAAGATGTAAATTAGACCACTGTGCCACTATTTGGCTTAATTCTTGTTGCTGAGTCATTATTAAGCAAAATGACTTATGGTACAGTAAGCTGATTATATTTTCTTTAAGAAGGAGCTTTGTTCCATGACGTGTCCCACGCCTCCAGTCTGTTACAGCAAGCATGAAGCTGGACAGTGTCTTCAGGTCTTCAGACCTCCTTGAAGCTGGGGAAACCAGATAGGCAAATTAGCCAGGCAACCTCTTACCTGTTAATGAAACTTGGATCTTGGTCTTGCAGACTGTTAAATTGTGTGATATGCCTCATGGAAGATGATGAAATTACTTAGATTTAAAAACCTATCAAAAATATGAATTTAGAAGTCTGCGTAGTAGTATCATATTTTGTCTTATTTTTTAACACATCAGAGAAAGGAGAAGGAAAAAAGCCTCCTCTTTGTTCATTTTCCTTCTAGCACACTCATAACTTTTTTGAAGATTTGCTCCAAATAATTTCCTTGCTTGGCAACTGACTTGTACATATCTTCATGCCCTTATTGTTCAGCAACATGTGCCTCTGATATAGCTATTAGAGGTTTTTTAAATGAAGTAAAAACAAATAATATACATTTAAAAATATATACAGTATAAATATACATTGTAATAATATTTTTAAATAATTTGTATTGCTATCTTAAATGATTAACCTGCTGTATTTTAAAGATAAATACATTGATACTGAGAGACTGCATGACTCCAGTATCTAGTAGTTTCTGTACGTTACACAGATACTTTATAGGCCTAAAATGTGAGGACAGAAAACAGTTTTTCCATATTAAAAAATTATTTTAAGTCCAAATAAGGTTAAAACTTTTTAATGGATGGAATTTTCAGAAATCCTTGAGTCTTGTTAAAGAACGAAAGGCTTTTTTAGAAGATTCCCTTTCTGAAGTGGTGTTAGTCCCAAAGAGTCTATTAAGAGGGTGAAAACTGCCAGATTTGTTGGAAGATTTCTTTCTGTATGAGAGAGGTCAGAAATGGAAATGAACACTTTGTATCATTTCTAGCTGGCTGAGCAGGGATTATATCATGGAAATACTTCAGCTAGTACAAGATCATGGTAAGCAAGTGAACTGAGTTGACGAAGGCACAGAAAGGGTTCTTTTATTTTTTTAAAGCAACCACAAAGTGTTAACACCACAGAGTAACGAAATCCTCTTCCTCGTACAACACCTAAGTTCATAGGCTCTGTGCACAGCTGCTCAAAAGAAACTATTTCTCATGTTTGGTTCCGAAGCCACAGGATGTTCTTACACGTGTAACAATTACACAGTCTGTGCCTTCAAGACTTCCTAAACGTACAGGGAAGTGTCAAGGTTTTCCCAAAATCTTCATACAGGATGAAATCATTATTATATTTGGAAGTCAATTATTCTTTCTTATTTTTCAACAATGTCCCAAATTGTTATTAAAAATTTGAATTTCTCCGAGTAAATAGCAACTAATATTTCTAACTCAGTGATCTCAAACTGGATTTTTTTTTTTTTTAAATGAAATGTGGAAGTCTACTGCAGCACACGGGAAGGCTCAGTGTAACTCAAACTATTCTTTCCTTTTTTTTTGTTTGTAGTTTGATCCTTTATTGATTGAAAGCAAAACAGCAGCAACGGTTGTGCTAATGCTTAGTTCTCCTGAAGAGGAAGTTTTGGCCAAAGCATGTGATGCTCTGTATAAATTTGCATCAAAAGGTTAGTCTTTTTGCAATGAGCTTTCTTTGTGTTGCTTAGATTTTGATAGTATTTCACAATTTTTTATTTTCCTAGCACTGAAATCTTCATTTCATCTCAAAGGTCTCTGTCAAGGTTTTGAGAGTTTTCTGAAATATCTGTCAAACCTGTATTTGCAGTTATAAAGAAGTCCTGTGGTTTGTGTGAAGGAAATTTTTATCATTTTGTTGTAGAATTTTATATTCTGTTTAACTTATATTCTCTGTTTAATAGAGCTTGGTTTAGATATAACCTAGATCTGTTTTGTTACGAGCAACAGACCTGCATCTGGGAGGTATTAGTATACACTGGTAGCATTCTTGGTATAATTAATTTGTTTTAATATTAATTTCCATTTAATTTATGTTTTCTTTCAAAATCATGTTTTTATATGCTGATTGTTGTACTGATGGCAATTATCAACACTGATAAAGTTGTGAGAGAAGAGCTGAAGGCTTTGACAGTTGGCATGGGATCATTGGGTTCTGAAAGATGTTTATGTTCAGCTTATTATGGCAAGCTTGGCTGGGGGCACGCAACCAAATTTTGAATATGGGAAGAGAGAATTTGGACTGTTGGGAGACAGCTATGAACCGCACACCATAAACTCTTGTTGGCTCCTTTCCTGCTGTCCACAGTGACATATGGCACACTGGAAGAGGACAGATATTTAATTTTTCTGTTTCTACTAAATGAATAATCCTTTAAATTGTTAATGTAGATATTCCTGCAATCTTCCAGAAGACTAGGCTGTAACTTTGGAGTGTGGCACAAGAGAAGGAGTTGTTTTCACTTTGCAGTTAATTTGTTTCTTGAATGTTGCTAGTAAATTAAGTCCCATCCCTTAATAAAAAATAGTTCTTGTATTTTAATTGTGTTTTGGCCTGAGAATGAGGCCAGTTCTCCAGTTTCTCCTCACATTGCTCACTTGTAGCCAGAAAGGACAGGCATGGTTCATTAAAAAATGAATTATAAAGCTGTTGTGGGAACTGAGAATAGGAATAGGTTTTGGATTTTGTTTCTTGGGGTTTGGGTGGTTTTTGAGTGAGCAGAAACGAAGGCTGTAATCTCAATGAACAAAACGCTTCTGTTCTTTGCATGGCCTGAGCCTATTCAGCTACAAAGTGCTCCATTCTCAGAAGGTAGAAATCTCAGGTGGGATTTAATGATCCAAATCCTGGTAGTTGCTTCAGTTGAAGGGTAGTGCAGATCCACAGAATGAATTAACTGTTATTTTGAGGAAAATAAAATTGGGAGGCAAGAAAAGAGGAAAATAAAATTAGGTTCTTAATGATATCATTCACCTGTACTTCGCTGAATAGAAAGCTGTCTTTTGTACTACCGTTGCAGTCTCCAATAAATTAGTTGGGTGTCCAATAGACAGAAGCATTCTTTGCTTTACAAATGTGAATTAATCCTAGATACTGTTAATCCTTGATACTATTTGACACATGTTTATTTGCAGTATAGATTAGACGATCTCCCAAGGTCCTGTCCAGGCCTTTGTTCTTTGATTCTACAGTCCAATAAAAGATTGGTAGCTGGTTTACTTTGTTACATTAGAACTATGAGCTTGTTGCATTTTTACAGAACTTTTAACCTAATTACTCTTCAGGTGATGAAAACAAAGTGACACTTCTTGGTCTTGGAGCTGTGGAACGTCTGTATAAACTCATCTCACATGAAGATCCTATTGTACGCAGAAATGCCATCATGGTATTTGGCATCATGGCTTTTAATCGTAAGAGTCTCCATTTTTTAGTATTTTTCAATGTGTATGAGTGTGGTCATCAAAGCAATAGGTAACCCTTGTGAAAAAATCCTGTATTAACGGCCCAGAATAAAGGAACAAATTCAGCTAGAGTGAACTTCACTGATTCTGAAAAAAAAATTACAAGAGAAGTTAATTTTCCTCCAACCCTTATTTTTGTTTTGACGGGGCCAAACTGAAACAGTTTTGTACTGGAATTATGTCTATCAGGGAAAGCCTGACTACCTATGATTCCCACCAATGTGGGCATGACACACTCTTCTCTTTTACAGAAGTTGGAAGGGAAGGATAAAGTAGTATTTATCATCTACAGAAAATGCTATGGTTAAATACCAATTGTTACTTGAGGCATTAGTGTAACTACAGTGATAAGGGAGAAAACGTGTTAAATTAAAGTAGCTAACTCAAGTATTGATGGCAAAAAAAGCCCTGAACTATCAAGCATTGGCATGCGTATTTACCCAGCTTCTTTGGCTGCTGTAAATGTTTTGTTATCTGTATCTGAGCTAGTGAAATTCAAGCGGTCTTGAGTCTCAGAGACATTGCATTCACAGCAAGGTAATGTATCTACTGTAGCCATACCATTATTAAATGATTTAACCACAGTATATGCAGATTTTCTTGTACCTTTTTATAAGGTGAGAATGAATGTATTACATCCATGCTGGGTGGCTGAGTGCCAAACGATCAAGCTGCAGTGAGTGGTATGTGGACATACCTGAAGATGAAAGAATAAGTGATGTAAGGCTGAGTTTCAGTGGCTGTTATTTTTACATTGCTTTAGCAAGCTACATCTAATTAATACAATTAATCAGGTCTTATTTTGGTAGATGTTCTACCCAGTTGTCTTCCATGGTGATATCCTAACCACTATTTAAGTCTTTTCATCAACTGCTACCTGCTTTTCATGTTGCATTGGACTTTATGCTCTTTATCTTACTTTCAACTCAGCATTAGCATATAGTCATTCCCTCCAGACCTTGGCTTCCAATGGTGCTGCACAAGTGTGGATTTGAATGACTGAAGATCTTCCATTTATATTCACATCTTAATTATTTTTGTTCTTTTTCCTACATTTCAACACTATAAGTGTTGATAGTAACAACACAGCCCTGTAAGATCACATGAAGTCTGTCCCAAATAATGTTTTTTGGTTATTCTATCCAGTGGTTGTGGTTTTGCTAGTTTGCCACTGACAACAAAAAAATGCATTGTGAAAGTCTTTACTGTGATTTTAATAAGACCTATCATGTTTTCAATTTGCAATGTGGGCTGTGATAGCATAAAATTAGGAAGTCATGGTTTGAAAATTAAATAATGGAAGGATTGCTTTCAGTTTGATAGTTTTAACCACAAATAATTTTATCTGTTGGGGTGTGACTTCTTTGACAACTAAAACTGAGAAATATTTAATCAGAACCTGCTAGATGCAAGTATTTTGAATAAAGTTTCAATGACGTGTTGAGGAACTTCATATATCAAATGTCAAAGAATGTTGTGGTACTTTAAAATCTCCTGTATGCTTTCAGGTCCCATTACAATCTTGGTATAAATTCAATTGTGTGTCATTCTCAGTCAGATCTTTTTGTCACTCAGGGAGTAACCATAAGTACATCCCCCTTGGAGCAGAATCTGTTTCTTTACTCAGCCAAGATTGCCAAACGAAAGACTTCATATTTGTATTTATTTCATTGTAGATGATGTCAAGAAGTTACTGAGGGAACTGGATGTCACAAATTCACTTATATCACAGCTGGCACCGGAAGGTAGCTTGCAGTATTCATTCCTTGTGCAAAAACACACTCAGAAATAATTTATGATTGCCATTTCATCGGACAATTTCATAAAATCTTCCTTGTAACTTATGATTTGTCATACTACATGTTAAATAGGTAATTGCTTTTATAGGAGTTGCTCTGTTACTCACTGAGTACAGATGGAGCAACATGTTTATGGAGATGTCAGGTGTGATTAAGAGCTATTTTTTATTGACTTCAAATAATATTTTAAACCACTGGATTAGTGTTCATATACTGTGCTGAATAAAACTTGGTCAAAATATTTCTCTTTTTTCCCCATAGAAGATGTAGTTATCCATGAATTTGCTACTCTGTGTCTAGCACATATGGCTGTTGAATATACTACTAAAGTACAAATATTTGAGCAAGGTGGATTAGAACCACTTATCAGGCTGCTAGGTAGCCCTGATCCTGATGTTAAGAAGAATTCAGTTGAATGTATCTACCTCCTGGTGCAGGTAAAGTTTGTTGTTGTTGTTGTTTTAAATTACAGAGGCAAATAAGCACTCTCCCCCCCACCCCCGCCATCGTCAGTGGGGTTAATAATTTTAAAATATTTGGTTCCTTTACTCTCCAGTGTTCATCAATGTATTTGAAAACATTACACCCAACTCCTTGATTGTTACATTAGTTATTAATATCACTGATTTGACTCTAATTCTATTGAACTTAGTGCAATTATCCATGCTGTACAGCAATGTGAGATCAGATGCAGATATTTTTAATTAACTATGAATTTGTTTTCTTAGTTGGAAAATGTTAATCTCGGTAATGAGAGTTATAACCTGTCTGTCCAAAAGATTGGAATAATCCTGTAAGTTAAAGAACTAGCAATTGCATTGTGCCTTGTTTTGGCCAGCAAGTCCATAGTCACAATTTTGAACATCTTTTTAATGATAGGTGAATGCTGTCAACAGCTACTTTCCATACTGGGAGGAATGGGTTTGTTATTGGCTACTTTCACACTCAGCACTAATGTCATCCATATGCTGCTTAGCAAAAGAATGGTGCATTTGTATGGCAGTTCTCTTCCATGGCTTATGCGAATCAATTCAATAATGAATTCAGTTTATAACTCTATCTCTTTTGGGGCATCAGAGCATGTCTATTCAGAATCGCATTTTACTCTTTCTCCTTTTTTACTATCTCGCTGTCTTTGTTGCAGGGTATATCTGGATAACTGCACCTGGTGCTTGCTTATATTGATAAGGATAATTGCATGCTGCACATGTGCAATAAGCTATTTAAAAGCAAATTGTAATTTATTTATTTATTTTTCTATTTTAATATAATCCACTACTGTCTTTTTATTAAGCTGCATATACACTGTTTAAAGTTGAAATTTTAAATTGTCATTTTATAATTACTAAAACAAAAGAAGATATAACCAGGCAACCACGGTAGAGTGTGAAAACTATTTTCCCCCCCACTGAGGTAAATAAAAATGGTGAAACTAAATTTTAAAAACTTTCTCAAAGAAACATGTATGTTGAGGCAAACATGGCAAAACCAAGAGTAAATAGACTTCCTTAGACAGGACTAGATTCTGTAGTGTGTACTTCAGTCATGCAAAAAAAAAATGGAATTTAAGACTGGTGGGGCTTGATTATATTCAGTTTGATTCTTAACTGAAAAGAAAGAACTGCAAGTTCTGGAATATTGACTATTTTTGTATGTTTGAAGTCAGATTTTTGGTGTTTTCTGTAAAGTCAGGGATTGATATACCGTTGTATTGTCTATCACTAATGTTCTTTGTTGAATATTTTACTGCAGGATTTTCAAAGCCGTGCTGCAGTTCGTGCACTGAATGTAATTCCACCCTTGCTGGAACTACTGAAATCTGAATACCCAGTTATTCAGTTGTTAGCCCTTAAAACCTTAGAAGTAATTAGCAAAGACAGAGAAACCAGGATAATACTGCAAGAAAATAAAGGATTAGATTGTCTTCTGAATATACTGGAAACCAATGTACAGTTTACTTGCCTTAAAAGTTTTTTGTTCTTGCTGCTAATGTTTATGTGACTAATGAGAAATATTATTCATGTTATGGAAGAGTGATAAAAGAAGAAAGCTCCTTACTTGGAGCTAACCAAGATAGAAATAGGATAAGCTAGGATACCTAGCTTGCTAAGAAAGGGAGCAAAGGGATTCACCAAAATGTTTATATTTGTTTTATTGCTTTATTGCTATTAGTAATACTGTTTTGCATTTACTGTCCATTTCTCAAACTGTTGTAAATATCAGAAAAATTCACCATATAGCTTTTTATACAATGTTTTCCCAAAATTTTTTATTATATGCTGAACTCTGGTGCAGGTTCCTAGTTCGAACACTGATTTTTTTTCTGAATTTACTTTGATATCATTGGCCTTAAAATGTAATTTCCTATCTTGGAAATTTAATTGTTTCTGTCATTATGAGACCCGTTTTAGTGCTTCTTGAGTTCAAATGTCACCATGGGGAATATAATGCATAGAGAAATTTGTGAAGTTTTTTAAATTTTAAGATGACAGGTCCTGTCTGAATACCTGCTTAACCCACTTTGATATAAATGAGAGACTTTTGGGGTATTTACTGTTTTTGATAAATTGTGTTGCTTCTTAAGACACATCAAAGAAATTATACAAAAAATATGAGTATGAAAAGATGTACTTTGATATAAATAAACTGTCCAAAAGAAAGTTATGACAATTACCCTACAAAGTTAAAAGCCAAAGATATTTTAATCCTGATTTGAAGGTTATTTGTTTGGGGTTTTTTCCTTATTAGGAATTCAGCGATCTACATGTGGAAGCTCTTGCCGTGTTGGGAAATTGTCTGGAAGATGTGCATACTCTGCAACTGATTCAGCGGACAGGAGGCCTTAAAAAGCTACTTTCATTTGTAGGAGTCTCTACTGTTCCTGATATTCAGAAGAATGCAGCAAAGGCAATTACCAAAACAGCTTATGACTGTATGTGACTTTTAAAAAATCTGTGCACATGAATTTGATTATGAAGTAAATTTTCATCCAGAATGAGGCCGTCTTATCTGGTTGAGGGTAGTACTTGTGCTGAGGAAAACACTGGCAGGAATGAATTACAGTGATGAATCTTGGCAATTAGAGCAGCAATTGGATGCTAGGCTATCTATATATGTATGTGAAAATGTTAAGATTTTGTATCAATTTATTTTTAAATGTAATATATTCTTGCAAAATGCTGTTCTTAAAAAGGAAAATGGAGCTCTGAAAATAGGATCTTTGTTTTCTTTAGTGATGCCAGGTAACTGCCATCTTAAGCCACCTCTGCTGGCATTATTTCTCGTCGGTATCAGTTAAGACTTAATCGCAAACTTACTTCCTTTTGCATACAACTGCTCGTCTAAATGTCAGGCAATTTCAAATACAAATTCCTTTAACAGGGACATGAAAAAAAGCCTTTCAAATGGCTTGCAGATTAATATTCCCAGTGGAGTTAAATAGTTTCATTGTCATCTTTTTATAATTATTCATCCTATAGTTCTTTTTATACGCTTTTCTGGAATTCACCAAGGAATTCTGCATTAGGCAGAACATGCTCATCACTTTTGCCCACAAGGATGCTCTTTAAATAAATCTACATTTGAAATTCCTTCCATACATTGGTTTCTGAGTTGCAACATATGCCTAGTAGAGCTATATAACAAAATGCAATGTAAGAAATAACATACTTCTGTCTATAGAAGATTTTAATTCTGTCAAGGGATTTTGATGACAGTAACTATGACAGTAGAGCTTAAATATTTCATTCATATTTCTATAATCTCATGGTTGAATCATGGCTTTAATTTATGTGTATTTTACAAATATGTTATCTAATTTAATACATGTCTAAAATCTCTCCTTTCTATAGTATTTCAGACCTCCTTTCTTCTCTCCCCATCTTATCTTTCCAATTCTTTTTTCACCTTCCTTAGTTTGACATCCTGAGTATTTGTAATTATTTGGATTGCAAATGACACATGAAAAGAGTGGAGTCGACCTTTCCTAATATTCTGTGGGTTTCTGTATGCTTCTACCATTATCTGTTGGAAGCTTTGCAAGTCACTGAAAATTATTTTCATTAATGTTTAGGTATCAAAGATAGGAAGGGACTTTCTTATGCCAGTATTTTCTTTGTGTATTTTCCTGTACTGTTATTTTATTATGCTACTTAGGACTGTCGGTATCATTTTTATAGTCCTGTGACAGGGTTGTAAGTAGTACGCTAAGCAGATTTATATTTGCTCCTACTACTTTCTACTGCGTATTACTCCTTTTTCATATTTATTTTCAAATAAGCATAGCCTTCTTTTCCTTTCTCACACCTTTTTCAGTTTTTCTGGCCTAATATTTTAGCAGCTGTTAGTAGAAGTGTATCTGAATACAACATTTTTAAAACACAGTGGCAAGAGCTACACATAATATATTACAGTACTGCCTATGATCTTATATCATGGGATGTTACCGTCAGTGAAGATGCATCTTCTTGTCATACTTCTTTACAAATGGAGTCAATGTGGTTTCATTATAAAGGTTTGCTCTCTTCTTCAGCCTATGACAATTGGTATGGATGCAGCAAGCTGGGAAAATAGATCAAAAGAAGATTTAAAATATTTGCTTCCAAGCTGTAGAATTTTGGTGACAACCAGTTAGACAAAGGGCAGCATGTTTTACTGGTGCAGTGGAAAACACAGTCCAGTAAACTTGCTGCTCAACATGGCCCCCAGAAGTATTGAATTTATTTCAGATACATAGAGCTACTGGTCTAAAGTCAGCCTTCCAGTGGAAAGAAAAGTGACATTGGGGCCATTATAAGAAGTAGTCCAAGTGCAAAAAGAAAACAGAAATTTTTGCAGTTCCTGTTTGTTTGGATCCTGGTTGTAAATATACTAAACAGCCTATCCAAACTGCAATGCTAATGTATGCTATACTAATACTTGCCTTGATGTAAATCCAATATAATACAACACAGCTCTAAATTCTTTTATGACTTTTTCATTAGATTTTCAATAGCCATACAGTAGCCCACATTCTTCAGGTTTGATAATCGTGGTTGCATTTTACAAACATTTCCTGCATACTTGAGAATACCACTTTTCATTGAAATGAAAAACTTAATTCTGCTGTGACAGAAAATGTAACTATCTGGTTTTTTTTAATCCTGGAAGCTGAGTATACAGCAGTGTCTGGTTTTGAAATTATTGTTGTTGACAGATGGAATTTAGGGGTATTTTTCCTGATAGATGTGATCATAGCAAACAGTTTTGGTTTATGCCCCTTTCAGCCCTTTGGAAAGGGATTCCTGTAACTTGTTGTTGTTATAAGACAGATGTATCCCTTAAGAGCTATTCTCAATTTCAGGATAAATTACATGGTACAAATACTATATTCAATTTTAAATAGCATCTTTAGGATGCTGCTCTGTTTAAGTAAATTAAAATTGATCATATTTCTATACATAATCATTATCCTTTTGCCCCTGAAAATTTGTTGTGTTCTGTAACATAATTTTGAATTTAATATATTAATTTAACATATTTAATTTAATATATTAATTTATCAATGGTTTTATTTTGTATGCTCAGAATTACAGTGGTGAGTTTTACTGTGATTTCCTTCTTGCCCAGCAAATAATGCAGTCATTTCAGAATGCAAAATATAATTTAATGCTATAAATTATTGAATATCTGTGAGTGGATTATCTGGACTGTTGATTAAGAAGGGCCTGACTTTCTCCTGACAATGCCAGACACACCAGCAACAACAAAATGCTATGGAGTGTGTATGGAGAAAGTGATGATCATGCTCACTCGAGTTTTGCTTCACTCTGCCAAACTTCTGGTTTGAAGCTCTCCCCGTTCTTTACATGTATCTAAATGCAAATCTTTTCAAAAGGGAGCATACTAAACAGGCTCTGTAGCCTGATTAACATATGCTTTTTCATAATATGGGGTTTTATTTATCTGGGTTATCTCAACTCAAGATCACTGACAGGTCATGATATTATTTAACATTAACTTTTTTTCATTTGAAATTGGTATAAATAATTCCATAAGGTGATGACAGTGAGCTGAATAGGTAACCAACAGAACTCTGACCATGATTTTGGGGTAAGAAGGGGAAATAGGAAAATATATGAAAAACAAAGGTTGGCTCATGATGGGATCAATGCATGAAAAACTGGACAGAAGTGTTAATACTTCAGACTCTTTTAGTTGGGTGTGCCTCAGCGTTTTACTTCGTGTTAAATCAATGTATTCAAATTACTTAGGGGTCAAGAAATTAATCACTGTAAATATGGTGTTGGCACTGACATGAGAAGTGTTTAAGTACAAAGGATGCTTTTGAATTGTACATTCTTTTTTTTTTTATAGTAAAAGCCAAAGGAAACAATTCATACAAACAGAGAGAGGATCAGCAGAAAATGATCATCCCTGAAGTAGAATGGGCACCTGGATCTTAAAATATTAATAATTTTCATCTATCTGTCTAGCTAGCTAAATATAGGTGCATACTGTTTACCATAAATCCAAATCCAAAATCTGTTTTCCACATTATTGGAAAAGTCTTTATTCTGTTTAAAATATTTTAAATTACTATTTTCACTCATATTTCACAGAGGCATAAATTATCTTTAAAATTAAATGCTTACCCATCATCATAACTGCCTTTAAAAGCAAGAATAATTTTAAAGAAAACCTGTGTAGTAATAAGTAACTGGCTGTACAAGAACCAAATTGCTGAGGCATGAAGAACCTCTAGAGATCATTATTAGGGATTATGGACTACTTTGGCAAGCAACAGGCCAGCGGCATACTTGATTACTTGTCAAAACGGTCTGTAATCCCAATTAAGGCCTTCTCTTGAGAGCTGGCTGATACGCATCAAGGTTGTGGCCAACGTTCTGCTGGCACTTGAAATCCTCCCTGTTTTATTTGTTGCATCTTCTGTTTTGTGATTTCAGTTGTGTATCTCTGATGATCCTAAAAATATTTAAAATTGAGCTAGAGAGGAGAAAATGGCTAGCCGTCTCATGTATGTGCATTGAGTAATTTCTGCCATAACTAGATTTTCAATCAAACTTTATTTTCATTAGCTTTGTGGACTTCTATTTGTTTACTTTTATTCATTACAGATTCAGTTTTATTTAAAAGAATACTTCTGATATTTTTCTTTCTTTTTTAAATTTTTTATTCGTAAGACAACAGTCCAAATAAGGGAATGATCCCTCAAAGCATTAGTAAGCACCGGTAAAATTTCCAAATGGGTCAAAGTCCTAATGTCTTCTCAGTTCCTAAATTTCTTTGATACATTCAAAAATTTTACCATGTAGATATAACTTCAAGCATGTAATTAATCCGCTTTAAATTATGCGTATGATTAAATGTTTATTGACCCTCGTAACTATAGAGTTCTATGCTGTCCTGTGCCTTTCTGGCTGAGAAAGTCTCACCCAGGGCTCTTTCTAACAAACACCTGCACTCCTGATTTAATCCATTTTGGGATGAGTGAGTTTATTAGTATAATTTTCAGATGTCTGTAGATACTTTGTAGACACTCTATGTTGTTACTTGTGTAGAGGAAGGGAACATCTATGTCCTTCCTTAGCTGCTGCAGGTCATTGTATTGTAGGTCAGCGAACCCTGTGTCCCCAGGCTAAAATATTAAATTGAAATTCTCTGCAAAGTGTGAACTAATTAAGAACTGCAAGCTGTACAGAATTTAAAATTCAATTTTTAACACCTCTTGCCTTTTTTTGGCTACTGTAGTATGTTAACTGGTACTCCACCAAGTTCAATTCTACATTTACTAGTATGTTCTTCAATTTTATGCATTTGGACTTCATTAGCATAAACTGAAGAGAGCACAATCCTGAGTAAGTATGATCTGTTGAATTGGAAAAGCTGTTTTCATCAAGTCTCTATGCATCCTGTGGTTTTACGTCACATAGAGAACAAACTTTGCATTCTGTTGGGCTATGTACGTTTAAAGCTGTATTTAATAGTCATCTTTTGGGCTTGATTCAGAGTTCACTGAAGTCTAATGGGTTTTGGATTAGGTCCTTTGTGCACATTTCTTTATTGCTGGTGACTCTGTTACGAAAATATTTCCATTTCCATGGTATCAAAAGCAAGCGTTATGTTGGAAACAACTATATGAAATCAAATTTGTGTCCTTTCACTGATCTGGAAAATGAATGCAGGTTAATGCTATTGTTCTTTTTCTTTTAAAGCTGAAAACAGAAAAATCTTAAATGAGGAAGAGGTTGAGAAGTGTCTCATAAACCTTTTGGAAATTGATAATGATGGAGTTAAAGTTGCTGCTTCCCAAGCAATTTCTGCCATGTGTGAGAATTTAGCTAGCAAACGTGCATTTGGACTCCAGGGTAAGTAAGGTGGGAAGGGATGATCTGAGAATCTGTGCTTTTCCTTTTATAAGGAACATATTATAATTTTTCAAATTGCCATGGTTTATTTAAAGGTTCATGTATACAATTATTTCTTTCAAAGGGATTCCCCAGCTAGTACAGTTGCTAAGCAGTGACAATGAAGAGGTAAAAGAAGCTGCAGTGACAGCATTAGCTAATTTGACAGCAGCCAGTCCTACTAATGCAAGGTGAGTCTTCAATAATTAAATTATTATTTAAAACACTAATCTGAACAAAAGTGATAATATTTTTATTTTTAAAGAATGCCTCATCTTGTCCTTACCCTACAAGGCAGATCTGTTTGAATTGGACTGTAAGGCACTTTTTGGTGCTTAGGAGTCATCTGGAATAAGTTGGTTCTCATCAGTGTTACAAGAGTTACACTATCTCTACTAACTTTTGCTTTATCAAGGAAAGGTATGAAGCAGATGTAATGAAAGCAGAGATATAAATCATGTTTTGAAGGGAACATATGAAGAAAATATGCCTCATAATCGAAGACATTCTATGTCAGGTATTTTTTGAAAATTCAAAATCAGTAAGGTATCCTTTAAAATTTGATGGTTCATGCAACTTTTTTGACTAATTTAAACTCTTTGAAGGAGATAGCACTCAGATATTCTAAGTATTGTCATTGTCTGTCTTTTTTTTTTCCCAAGTAATAGAGAATGCTCATAGTGCATTCTCTAAAAGAAAAGAAGTATAACTTCAGTATCCAGAATAACTGGTTAGCTGACTGTAAGTTCCAAAATAATTGTATCAACTAAATTCTACTGTCAGTTGCAGAGTTCTGTTATCCCAACTCTATTAAAAGTTCTGTTCAGGGAAAAGAAACAGAGCAGTCTGACGTATATGAGCAATCACATGTAACTAACAAACCGTAAAATAAAATTCCTTAAAAGTTTCCTGGAATATACTCAAGGAAGTTGTAATCCATTCATAGGCACTCTTTGAAGTGAAAAAGTAAAATAACTCACCAAATAAATTATTTGTTTCAATTTATTGATTCAGCTCTAATAGTCACCAGTATTCACTTAATGTTACCAGATGGAGCCATAATTTGACACAAGAGAATAATATTCTGTTCTCGGATTCAAATAGTAGATTTTTTTGTCTGATATTCTGCTCTCCTCATGTGTGTGACTCTTCAGTTGGTGTCAGTGGGAGTCATACACACATAAAAAGAGCACAGTACTAGAGTCTAGGGGTCAAACTTTCAGCTCCGCTACAGCTGTTTTTCGTAGCACAGCCCTTTGAGGTTTCAGATTGTGAAAAGGGAATCTCCGGAGAGTTTTGAGTTGGTATAACAGCTTATGCCAACTCATTCAGGTTTTTTTGCCAAGGAGATAGTCAGGACATTGTTTAGCTCAACTGCTAGAACAATTCTCTGAGACCTCAGGCAGGGAAATAGCTGTCTCTGTTCCTCTGCATTATGATGGAGTCCGTATTTATTTCTTGCTGGGCAGAGTCAGGAAATTGTAAAGGTGGCTTACATATACTTCTCTCTCTTTGCAATCCAGCTCCAAGTACAATATAGAAGCACCAGATAATCTAATCACAGGTCTTCTGTGAAAATCAGGAAGCAATAATTTACATTAAATATGTATATTGGATGAATGCCATGTGACTATATAATTACTTCAAAGCTTCATTTCTAAATCAAAACCATTAATAAGGCATAGAAGGGTCCAAGTGTGACTATGATCTATAAATTAATATATAGAGTTGAACCCTCAGCTGATACAAATTGGTATAGTTCCAGCTCACTGACTGAGTATCTGGCCCATATTTATTTTACATTCACGTAATAGGAAAAAAAACAGTTTGGAGAAAAAGCATTCCAGATTGAGTTACCATAATCATATTTCATTCTGGGGTATTTTGTGTGTGTGTCTCGTAAACCACTGAAAATAAGTATATATATAATGAAGATGTTGATATACTTTTATAATTATGTGACTTTGCTGTGTAATTATATTGACAATATTCTGGTCCCAAATGAGACTAATGAGACTAGTGCCCTTTTATTGATTATATATTAGATTCTTGTTATAAACCCTCAAAGAATATTAAATCATAAAGCTAGTAGTAGCAGGTAGACCTTATGTGGCAAGAACAAAATGGCTACAGTAAAGGGGAACACTATTTACTATAAATGTTTTCACTTTTTAACGGCCAGCCAAAAATTCAATCTTGTTGAACTCATATACGTGTTCTGCCATATTCCATTTCATGAGAATTTTTGCATGTATTATATTGATTGAAGGATGTGTACCTTGCCCTTTCACTTTGTACAGTGTATATCACAGAATGTAAACAGAGTACAAGACACTGCTATTTTTGCTGGAGATTTGTTGTTCTTGTTAGGAATATTTGGTCAAGAAATGTTGTCTGCTTTTCATATAATATGGAAAAAAATACAAGTTAAAACAAATTGTGTAATTAAGGGTCCCACAATAGCTAGCTCATAAGGATAAAGTCTTCCATTGATTAATAACACAGAACAGCATAGGCAATGGGCAATACTTACCCCCCACTAATGTATATTAACCTTGACCTTTAGGTGCTTCCCCACAGCAATGAAAGGCTAGTTCTATACCCCTATCCAATCAATCCTTTGTTTCTCAACTGAGACAGCTAATAAAGGTGTCAAATATGGTGGAGGTTTTGTAATTAGAACACCTGTTCACGATGATTGTCATTTCGCACAAGTCCCCAAGCAACCACGATTTGGCAAAAATAAATAAATTCATGAATGACTCTGTCCCCCATAGTATTTTAACCAAAGATCTAGAGCAGAAGAGAACATGAATCCCATACCAACAGTTTGAGTTTTCAGGTTTACTGGAAAACAACCATTTTCAATATGATCTCTACCAGAACACATAAAAATTACTATAAATAACTTTTAAAATATTTCAGCATTTAAGCTTTTGCTGCAGAGCTGATGTTGTGTCATGCTTCAGTAGCATACAGGAAAAAAGTACGGTGGTCAAATGCCTCATTAGTTTACAGATTGACACCCCCAGATGATGCTTTTATCAGAATTTTATCACAAAGTAATGATAGAATTTTAATGCTGCTGTATATGGATAATAAATTCTTTGTAACCTTGTTAATAATTAGGCTAAATAAAAATAAAATTGCAAAGTATACTGCAGTGTAAAAGCCCATGTATTTACTCTAACATATGATAAAGAAATTTTGGGATATTACTATGTGTATAGCTCTGAGGCCATCCTTGATATATGCGTCTGAATTTGTTTCTGTGAGTCTTCTCTGGAAGACTTCTGGGAAGAAGAGAATTATGTTCAGCTGGGTATTTGCATCCACTTCACATTTTTTAATCCAGAACACTAACTTGCTTTATTGAAAATTGTATACAGTTATATGGACAGCAGAATGCCATTTTAAAGAATCTGTGAAATCTGTCTGGTTTTGATGTGTCCAAGCATTGGGAAATGTAGGCATAGTCACTTCAATAATGTATATTATGCACGAATTGAAAAATTACACAAAAAGAAGCAGCAGTGCCATCTATTGGACAGAAAAATAAATTAGTCTGTGCTATACAACTAACTACAGAACAAACGTTTTATTTCAGCCTCTATTTTTTCCCATTTAAAGTATAACCAATTATTTTCGCTTTTCATGTATTTAGGATAAGCTAATCATGTTAAATATAAATATGATATTAGTTCGAAGTTACACATAGAAATAAGATCTCAAATTAGTCAGACGTTAATTTGACCAGCTCTTTTCTTCAGTATTGTCATAGCAAAAATGCCATTTCTAATAGCTGTCTTCATAAATCTGGCAATGTCTGAATTCTGGGCACCTAATGGAGTTACCACTAAAGAAAAACATATGCTCTGAAATTTAGAGCTTTGTACTGGACATGAAAACTAATTAACAGCCTCAATAATATTTGTCTTAAATTGTTTATTTTAAGTGCAAAATTTATAGCATTCAGTTAGAGTTTGGTCTGGGGGAAAAAGGAAAGGGATGTTTTTTGTTCAGCTGTACTAAGGGCTGCAGGAAATTATGGTACACGACAGACTTATGATCTGGCAGAATATTTCTCCTGGGGTTTATAATTAGTGTCATGTTATATATTTCTAAGTATTATATCTGGATTCAAGATAGTAAAATGTCATCCCAAAAATTGCAAAGTCAGCAAGCTTGATGTTATTTAGTTTTCTAATTCTTCAATTCTTCACAGGAATCAGTGGACCTATTTACATTAGCAAAATTATGTCCATGTAGGTAGTTACAGGCGTAATCACAGCATCTGAATGTGTGCTTTCTCCTTTGTATTAAGATTTTCAAGATTTGTAAGTAGGTTGGGGATAGGAAGGTAGTTTGGGAAGTCATTGGTTATGGGCAGTGCCCAGTGAGGAGAAAGTGAGTTGTTCCCTTGACTTCAGTGGGTGTTGCATCTATTCCAAATTGAAATTCATATACTGATCTAATGACCCAAATACATCCTCAGTCTATTCTGTGTGGATAATGCTCACCTGTAGTGAGAGTCTCTCACCTTCTTAAATGGAGATTTTCAGTATCCACAACAGATTTTTTTTTTTTTTAAGATGGGTATGGCTGTCAAGGAATAAATTTAAAGAATGTCCAGTTTCCTTAACATTTCAAATTTTGTTATTATCATTAGGAAGTAATGATTATTGCCATTAGGTAGTAATATCACCAGCTAGTAATCTTCCCCATTAGAAAATGGGAAACTTAATCACAGCTTTTCTCTTTCAAGACTGTAGATGGAACCTAATTCACATAAATGGATCAATATTGAAGTGTCAGTATTATATAAGATAATAAATTTGCATGACTATATGTGTTATTTTATGAGAACAGGAAGAAAAATTTCTAGTACATGACAGCTACATTTAAAAACAGAAACAGGTAATAATCCATTGTATATTTTTTTTAATGGTTTAGTAGTTCTTCTTTATAACATAAGTTCGTGTTTCTGAAGGAGGGAATCAATAACAGAATGCCACTAGCTGTATTGTACAAAGGTAATATGTTTTAATACTGACCCCTAGTGACAGAATTATATTTTTGAGCTACTGTGCTGCAAGGTAAAGGGATTTTGTTGGGTTTTGTGGTTTGTGTTGTTATTTTTTACATTAGCGCCCATTCTGCTGAGCCCTATACAAATACAAACAGTTAACTC